TCCCTCCCTCCCTCCCTCCCTCCTTCTTTTCTTTATGGCAACTTCAGCATAGTTTAATTCATGGGATGAGTGTCCCTCAAATGTCTTCGATTTCAACTCATCCCTGACCAATATTGCTAACAGAAAAAAAATGTTGGGCTTGTGATTGCCTGTACTTGTGTTATATATATAGTGATGTTATAATGACTAGTGCTTTTTGCATTCACAAAATTAAGCTACCATATTTTTCAGAGTATATAAAAAGAGGGTGAAAAACTGGGTGCGTCTTATACACTGAATACAGCATTTTGGCTTCCCAAACCCACCCACCTCCTCACAAAAATGGACATGCAGAGGGTTTGGGAGGCCTGTAAAGTGCTCCTGGGGGCTGGGGAGGGCAAAAACGAGTGAAAAACAGGCCATTTTTTGCCCCCAAGAGCCCTTTGCAGGCCTCTCAAACTCTCTGCATGCCCCGTTTTTTCACAAAAAATGAGGTGTACTGAGGGTTTGGGAGGTCTGCAGAAGTCAAAAACTTTTTTTTGAATTTACCTCTTCAAAATCTTGGTGCGTCTTATACTCTGAAAAATGTGGTACTTTGTAGATACTTGTCATAACCTGGAAGGAAAAACTCCTTTGCTAGTTTCGATTCTCAAACTTCCCTGGAAAGTGACTTTGCATGTTGGTTTAAGATTTCAAATTATATAGCTGCCCACCTCTCAGACTAAGCAGTGAAAATAGGATTAAACAACAGCAGGAAGAGCATAAAATCCCAATCACTTCATAACATACTAAAGACTTAATAGTACCCAAGTTTAATCTAGCTTACACCATATAAACAGGGAATCCCATTAATAGTGAAACCTCATATTCTGGCCCTCATATCAGTGGTGAAACGTAAAAAAAATTGCCACTGGTTCTCTGGGCATGGCTTAGTAGATGTGGCTTGGTGGTGGTGGTTGGGGAGGGGAAGTCATGTGACCGGGTGGGCGTGGCCAACTATTTTAATTTCTAAAGCATTTTTTAAACAGTAGTAAAAATGCTTTAAAAAGTGGGAAAAAAGGTTCCTATGATCACACAGCACAGATGATTGTCATGGAACCTCCTTTTCCCACTTTTTAAAGCAGTTTTTTCCTGCTGGTTCGGGCAAATAGGCAGGAAAAAATGCTTTAAAAAGTGGGAAAAAAGGTTCCTATGATCACACAGCACAGATGATTGTCATGGAACCTCCTTTTCCCACTTTTTAAAGCAGTTTTTTCCTGCTGGTTCGGGCAAATAGGCAGGAAAAAATGCTTTAAAAAGTGGGGGGGGGAGCTTCCAACAATCACGCAGCTCACAGCTGAGCCGCGTGATCCTCAAAAGCTTTTTTTTTTTTACCATCAGTTCGCAGAACCAACGATAATTGTCCCTACCAGTTTGCGCGAACCGGTAGTATTTCACCCTTGCCTCATACCCAGGGAAATATGCAATCTTAAACACTAAAGTGTTTTACCAAAAAGTAAAGCAAGAGACAAAATCATAGGCATATTTCTATCAGGAAGCATCTTTAGAATGGACGTGAATGGACATGACCCAGAACGGAAGGGAAGAGGAGGAGGCAGAGCAAACTAGTAACTGAGGTTTACTGGCCGTGCTTCCTCTTGTCTAGATATCCCCCTTTTAAGGATGTGTAACAAACAAAATCTTGTTTTCTGACTTGAAACTAGGCAAGTACCCAGACAGATGCTTTGAAGCTCCCGCCCTCACAGCCACCCCGGCTCCTCAAGAACAAAGCCTTGCTGTGCAAGCCTATAACCCAGACCAAGGCTACTTCTTGCAAGCCTCATACGCAGCATAAGGAATGCCAAACCGGTAAGTAACAAACAAGGATTGATTGCTGCTTAGGCTTGCAAGGGGTGGGGGTTGGGGGGAAGGTTCAGCAGCAATGCACATCACCTTTCAGTGCATTGGGGTAACCTAAAGCATGCTGGCAGAGGGAATCTTGGGAGTTAAAGTCCATGCATTGCTGAAGTTGAGAAACACCGTACTAAAATAATATTGGCAGAATGTGCAATTGAGCACAATTCTTGTTTAGGTTCAACAGCAAACAGGAGGCTGGGATGCAAAAACTCCATTGTAAGTAGTTTTAGAAATTCCTGGGTGGGGAATACAGCCACATTGCACAATGTCCCTAAGACAGGGGTGTCCAAACTTGGGAACTTTAAGACTTGTGGACTTCAACTCCCAGAATTCCCCAGCCAGCTCTGGGAGTTGAAGTCCATAAGTCTTAAAAAGTTCCCAAGTTTGCACACTCCTTCCCTAAGAATACTAAAGTTGTTCTGATTTTAAGAAAGGAAACCCAGCAGTGACTGAGTCCTGTTGCCATAGAACAGTAGTTTCCAATCTTTTTTTGGCCGTGCCCCACTTAAGTATTTTTAAAATCCTGATACCCCCCCCCCATGTATAATTCTTACTTTCCTCAAAAAGTGAACTCTACTCATGCGAAGGAAGCCTAAAAGGCCATTAACTTGGTTTAAACAAGGTTCAAATTGATCCCATTAAAAATCAAATTGCTCCCCTGTGGGGCGTTGGGAACTACTGCCATAGATAAAGACAATAAACCTACATTGGCCTAAGAGTGAGTCATCTGATTTATTTGCTGGCCAGGGATTTATCTTGAAAGAATGGCAATATTGGGGGTGGGTGGGTTGGGAGGGTAAAAGGCCAATGAACAAATAGGTATACCAAACAGGATGGTGAGTTGGGTACAGCCAAACAATAATGTAACATGCTAAGAGAGATGAATGGACAGCTGTTTTTCTCCGAGAATCACACCTTTTCTTTTTAACATGGCAATGGAAAGAAGAAGAAAAGGAAGCTCCACCCAAAATCATTATGGTGCCTGTTCCTGTACCAGTGTTTGTGCCAATCCCACTTCATCTCTTCTCCCAGTACACACCAGTCCCTCTGGGAATGCCAGTTCCGGTGAGTGATGTGTGGAGTGCCTCTTTCTTCCAGCCAGGTTTCCAAGATGTGCTAGTGAAGGATTGCACTAGTGGGCTTCCTGGCCAAGGTGCAGTGTCTTGACATGACCACTTGTAATGAAAGGTGGCCCTTGACTTATGACCAGATACTTAACAAAGCTAAATAACTTCAAAATTACAAACCACCTGAATTCAAAGTTTGGTTCAATGAAATGGAATTGATTGAATCTCACTTTCTGCTGTCACCTGATCAAACTTTGCAGTATGGCTTCATTTGTGGTCATTTGTAGTGTCCTGCAGTCAAGTGACTGACCCCTCACTCTCCAGCCCCTGTAGATTGAAACAGCCCCATCCCTTCAGTTGATGTCTCATGATTAGATGTCTTTCTGTGATTAGACGTTTGTGGCCCTTATCCCTCTCACATGGCATGATGAAATGTCTGTCTGTAGTGGGGGGAGGGGGGGAAAGAGGAGAGATTTGACCATTGTAGATACTTCCATGAAAGAACTGGATCAAGAGATTGCACAGTCCTGATCTTGATGAGGGAGGTGGGAAGAGATTGAGGATAACAACACCCTAGAATCTCTCAGGAGCCATTTAATACCTTTAGTTTGGCAAGATTCTGTCCATAAGGTATAAGCAAATAAAAGAACGGACTTGATTGAATCTCACTGTCTCATCTCTGGGTTTGAGCCTGACACATGGATCACCCTTGGACTAGATGATCTTCTGGGAATTTGCAATTGATCTTCTGGTGAATTGTAGCCCCTCCCCCATTCTCCATATCTTGAGAAGCCTAAGATGTTTGGTAAGGCTGATGCCAATGACTCATAGGATGGGTTGCACTTACATTACAGCCTTAACTATTATGGAAACGCTTGGCTTTTCTTAAGGGATGGACTCTCTCTTCAGGATGGTCAGGCTGAAGAAGGGAAGCTGTCTCTTCATTACAAATGATTCTTCACAGCTTCTGAGAAATAAGTTGCTGGCATTTCTCTCCAGGTCCCGGTTCCTATGTTTGTGCCCCCTGCCCCAGAGAGCACTGAGAAAACAAGAGAAGCCATTCCAGACGTCAAAAAGAACTCGGCTAGTCCTTTTGAGGCCGATCTTCTCCAGATGGCAGAAATGGTTGCCGAAGATAAAGATAAGGAACACTCTCAAGGAGGTAGGTGGATTTTAGAGAACAAAGGAAGGCAAATATATGTGTCCCAGGATAATATTGCAGGAGTCAATCTGGGTCGGTCACCAGGATTCGAGATTTAGGCTTCTGGCCTTTTGGACTCGTGATGGCGTTTCATCCTCGGAGAACTGCTCTCTACTGTAATCTGTGCTTTGGGCTCTTCCCCGCATAGTGACTTAGACACATTGTGGGTCCCTTTAGAATAAATCTGTTTCATATAGCATTAACTAGGTTTTGGAATTTCGCTGAGTATTAATTTGTTTTAGCTGTATTGGTTTATCTTGGTCTTTTTATCTTATTTTAGGCTCTCAAACATCTGAGCATGAGCTGTTTCTGGACCCCAAAATATTTGAAAAAGGTGAGCCCATAAGTCAGATCAATGAAAAGGCAAATTTCAACTGAACATGAGAAGAAACTTTTCTTAGCAAAATAGTTATCTAGATTAGAACACACACATGCATACAAACATCTGCATACACACTTTGAAAGTTGTGTAGAGTAATAACCTTGATCATCAGTAGAGATGTCCAACCGTGGTGACTTTAAGACCTGTGGACTTCAACTCCCAGAGTTCCCCAGCCAGCTTTGCTATTTGGGAAATTTTGGGAGTTGAAGTCCACAAGAAGATAGAAGATACTATCACTATTCTAGACACTAGAAGATAGGCTCAAGATCCAATAGGTTCAAGATGCCCTGGGCCCTATCTAATAAAATGAATTTCAATGTAGAGAAAAGTCCTACACTTGGGTAAGAAAAACCAAAAGTACATGTATAAACTGGGTGAAACCAAGCTTAATAGCAGTGACTGTGAGAGGGATCTTGGAGTCTTAATGGACAACCAGCCAAATATGAGCCAGCAGTGCAGCACCAGTCAAAAAAGCCAATGCAATCCTAAATTGCATTAACAGAGGGGTAGAATCAAGATCAAGTGAGGCACTAATACCACTCTATAAAGCCCTAGTAAGACCACACCTTAGAGTACTGCATCCAGTTTTGGTCACCATACTATAAAAAAGAAGTTGAGATTCTAGAAAAAGTGCAGAGAAGAGCAACCAGGATGGTTATGGGACTGGAGGCTAAAACATATGAAGAACGGTTGCAGGAACTGGGCATGGCTAGTCTAGTGAAGAGAAGGACCAGGGGAGAGATAATAGCAGTGTCCCAATATTTGAGAGGCTGCCACAGAGAGGGGGGCGGGGGGGGTGGGGTGTCAAGCTCTTTTCCAAAGCACTTGAAGGTCAGAAAAGGAATAATGTATGTAAACAGACCAAGGAGAGATTCAACCTAGAAATAAGAAGGAACTTTCTGACAGAACAATCAACCAATGGAACAGAAGTTGCCTTCGGAAGTTCTCGGAGCTTCATCACCTGAGTCTTTCAAGAAGAGACTGGACTGCCATTTGTCAGAAATGATGTAGGATCTTCTTGGGCGGGGTGGGTGTTGGACTAGATGAGCTATAAGGTCCCTCCCAACTCTGTTAATCTGTTAAAAGTTGCCAAGGCTTGGACATTCCTGGTCCATAGCAAACACATGGTTTTTTTTAAGGCCCTGTTTTCTACTGGGCTTTTGTTGGGCCTGCTTCATAGCCTTTCCCAACTCCTTTCTGCATTCACCTTCCTTCCTTTGCAATTTCAGACCAGGGCAGCACATACAGCGGGGACCTGGAATCGGAAGCAGTGTCAACTCCCCATAGCTGGGAGGAAGAGCTGAATCACTATGCATTACGCTCCAATGCGGTGCCTGAGCCTGAGCCCGAACCAAAACAGTTCCCCAAAGGCGAATTGGAGCAGGACCTGGAGGCTGACTTCCCATCAGGTAGGTCAACTTTTGAAGAAAATGCTCCATGCATATGAAGGTGTGACGCATCACCTCCTAGGCCGCAACCTTTGAATATCTGCACCACTCGCAGAGTACTGTATTTTTCAGAGTATAAGATGCACCTTTTTCTGCCAAAAAAGAGGGTGAAAATCTGGGTGTATCTTATACACTGAATACAGCATTTTTGGCCTCCCGAAACCTTGTCCCCTTCACAAAAATGCATGTGCAGAGAGTTTGGGAGACCTGCAAAGTGCTCCTGGGGGCTGGGGAGAGCAAAAACAAGCAAAAAACTGGGCGTTTTTTGCTCGTTTTTGCCTCCCCCCTCGAGCCCCCAGAAGCACTCTACAAGCCTCCTAAAGGCTATGTATGCCCTTTTTCTGGCAAAAATCAGGGCTGTTTTTTTGCTGCCCCCCCCCCTCGAGCCCCCGGGAGCACTTTGCAGCCTCTCAAACTCTCTGCATGCCACATTTTTCACAATAAAAATGAGGAGTGCAGAGGGTTTGGGAGGCCTGCAGAGTGCAAACTCTTTTTTTAAAAATTTACCTCTTCAAAACCTTGGTGCATCTTATACTCCGAAAAATAAGGTAATTTTTGATTTGCCTCATTATTGAAGATCTGCCTAACTGCTACTGCTTTGCCACTAAATCTGTGCCTTTGTTTCAAAATTAGATTCCTTTGACCCAATCAGCAAAGGGCTAGGTCTCCATTCACGGGCACGAGCAAGGCGGAGACATAGAGATGGTTTCCCACAACCAAAAAGACGGGTAAGAAACATGGTTGGATTCCTGGTTTATGGCTAAAACCAGAAGGTCAAAAGATGATTTGCAAATGGGTCAATGGGCAGGTCAGGGTGCTGATGAACCAAGTCCTATTTTTCCGTCTAAGCCAACGTTTCTTATTCTTGGTCATTTGAAGACGTGTGGACTTCAACTCCCAGAAATTCTGGGTTCATTCATGAATTTAGAATTCTGGGAATTTGAGTCCTCCTATCTTCGAGCTTTAGCAGTCTCCAGTGACATAGGATATCCACAGGGGAGGTTTTCTTCCATTTTCCCTGAGAAAGCGCTGCAGTGAGGCTGGCATGTCTTAGATCAGGGGTCTCCAACCTTGGCAACTTTAAGATTTGTGGACGTCAACTCCCAGAGTTCCTCAGCCAGCTTTGCTAGAGGATCAACTTTGGTGGCTGAGGAACTCTGGGAGCTGAAGTCCACAAGTTTTAAAGTTGCCAAGGTTGGAAACTCCTGTCTTAGATGGATTTCAGCCTATTGTCAGCAACAGTGATTTATAATAATTGCAGCATCCTGCAGTCACCACCATTTGCGACCTTCCCAGCCAGCTTCCGATGAGCAAACGTCAATGGGGAGGGCAGCCGAGAAGGTTGCAAGCTACTGTCATGTGATGTATTGCTTAACCACTGATTTGCTTAACAACTGCAACCCTTAATGACAATTTTTTCAATCCCTACTGTGGTTGTAAGTTGAGGACTACCTCTAATAGTCAAACAAAGCACAACTCTTTATAATGCACAAACCATTTTTTTTAACTTTCCTTCCTTCAGGGCAGAAAGAAGTCCATTGTTGCTGTGGAGCCTCGAATCCTGGTTCAGAGTTCCTATCCAGGCTGTTCTGTTTCCGGGATGAGTCTCAAATACATGTATGGGGTGAATGCCTGGAAGAACTGGGTCCAGTGGAAGAACACACAGGAAGATCAAGGAGACGTGAAATTTGGAGGTAATGCCTTTTTGTTTTGTTTAGTTATCTTCGTTTTAGGTTTGGGTTCAGTGGTGGAAATAAAAAAGCTCAGCCTTTGGATAGAATCATGTTAAAAAAACCAAGTAGTAGGCTAGTATCTGGATGAAAATTGGATCATAATACTTTGAAATGTATCATTTAGGAATACTAGAAGCGGGTTCATAGGGCTCATTGGCTAAGACGCTGAGCTTGTTGATCAGAAAGATTGGTTCAAATCCTTAGCTCCGTGTAACAGAGTGAGCTCCTGTTACTTGATCCAGCTTCTGCCAACCTATCAGTTCGAAAGCACATAAAAATTGCAAGTAGAAAAATAGGGAACACCTTTGGTGGGAAGGTAACAGGGTTCCTTGTGCCTTGGGCGTTTAGTCATGCCGGCAACATGACCACGAAGACCTTTAGTCATGCCGGCCACCATGACCTTTTCGGACAGCGTTGGCTCATTGACTTTGAAACAGAGATGAGCACCGCCCCCTAGATGTGGGAACGACTAGCACATATGTGTGAGGGGAAACTTTACCTTAGAAACGGGTTTTAAGACCCTGATTCTTAATTCTGCAGCAGGAAAGCCCATCTAAGCAGTTTTTGGCTTAGGTTCATTGTTCTACTTGCGGTTCTTTGGGTTCCTTTATACAAATTATATGTTCCTTGACTTCTCTCTTATTCGGGGATGCTGTTGAAAGAAAGTCAAGGTGGCAGCCACAATCATCTGACCAAAGCCCTGCCCCCCCCTTTTTTTTTTGAGGTGTGGCTTTGATTGTGTGATTGTGGCTGCCATGCTGATTCCTTTTTCTGATGGGCCCCGTCTCTGTGGACTCTCCTGCCGCTTTTGATAATTAACTCTAGAAATCACCTTAAAGGGCTGAGCTGAGAACCATCTCCTTCTGATGGTCCTTCTCCCTCCTACAGTTCGATCTGTGAAGCTCAAAGAGGACATCCTCTCGTGTTCTTTTTCGGAGTTGAGTTTCGGCTTGTGCCAGTTCATCCAGGAGGTGCGGCGACCAAATGGCGAAAAGTATGACCCCGACAGCATCTTATACCTGTGCCTTGGAATTCAGCAGGTTATTTTTCTTCTTTACATCCATTTTCTGGAGTTGCATGTTTGACCTTGCAGGAGTAGCAGAAAGAAGTATATAGAAATGGCAGATGGGCTTATTAATTAGACTGGGCTTTTATGAACCTCCCTTGTTATCACTCTGTTTTTAGGTCCTAGCTTTTGTATGCAAAAACAGCTCTCCCCTCCATATTGCTGGTCCCTAATTCTGAATGTAGAAAAGAACATTTGTTGTTCAGAATCGAGCTGTGGAGTCCTTGGTGTTCTCCGAGCTTGGTTGCTTTCTTGCAGATGTTTTCATGACCTGACTTTGTAACATCACTGTTGGGATTAAGTGTGGGGTTTGCTCCCTGTTTACATGTGGGGCTCCCGACCCCCCCCCCTTTGCAAAAATGGCCGTACACAGCCTTTAGGAACCTTCCAGGGTGTTCCTGGGGGCTGGGGAGGGCAAAAATGAGAGGGAAACGGACCGTTTTTTTGCTCAGTTTTGCATAGCCCCCAGGAGCACTCTACAAGCCTCCTAAAGACTTAAGCATGCCCATTTTTTGACAAAAAACGGGCCCGTTTTCACAAAAAAATGGGCAATTTTGGGGAGTTCTGCAGAGTGCAAAACCTTTTTTTTTTAATTTGCCTCTTCAAATCTTGGTGTGTCTTATACTCTGAAAAATATGGTAATTAACCTTAAATGTAAGTCAAATCCAATTAAATCAGACTTTTATCCTGGTCCTTCCCACTATTTTTGGTATGCCAGAAAAAATCAAGGCTGCCCTTTAGTCAAGGAAAGGTTTGCACAGCTTTATCTTTACCTTAAAACATGGGCAAGGTTACTGTGGGGCAGGAGTACTCAAGCGGTGGGATGGAGCCCTTTAAGGCGATTCAATCTACTTTCAAAGAAAAACTCCCCTTGATCTGGCTTTCTTGGGAAAAGGAGCTGTAATAGTTCAAAGTTTGAGGAATAGGCATTTACAGGTAGTTCTCAGCGTACAACCATTCATTAAGTCACTGTTCAGAGTTAACAGGACATGGAAAACACTGACTTGTGACCATTATACCATCCCCACAGTCACATGATCAAAATTCAGATGCTTAGCAACTGATTCATATTTATGACGGTTTCAGTATCCCTGGTTTTTGCAACCTTTCAACAAACAAGATCAGTGGGGAATCAAGATTCATTTATTCACTGCTGATTGGGTAGGAAAGAAAATATAGATATAAGTCTACATCACATCTATGAAATGCCATTGTTTCTATCACTTTCCCAAAGATGATTAAAGGAGGAACAACTTTTATTTTGTGGAGGTGAGGTGTCTATATTCCACATTTAGAGTTATTGTTACTGATTTACTTAAGAACTGTCCAAGAACTCAGAAAATGGCTTGTTCTCTTATCCCTACCTAAGAAAGTCAGTTTGAATGATATCCCTTGCCAAAGAGATCAATAGTCAAATTTCAAAATCTCAGTTTGAGGATGACTTGATTTTAAAATAGGTGGCATACACCAAGAAATCCCCTATGTATTCTCATATGGACCTGGCTTATCAATTGAACATTGTACCTGAAGGAATACTTGAGGTCCTGCTTGAAAATAGGGCTAGTGGGAGCAGCTTGATCCTATGAGGACCTGTATTTTCTGGCTACTTTCCAAGCCCTTCACAAAGTATCGAAGCCGGTTGTATTAAGATGGGATGACAGAACTGAATCTGTTGCTAGGCCAGAGGCTCAGTCTCTACATTTCTACATAGTCATTTTTTCTTTCTTTTTTCTTCTTCTCCTTTGCAGTACTTATTTGAGAACGGTAGAATAGATAACATTTTTACTGAGCCCTACTCCAGATTTATGATTGAACTTACAAAACTGTTGAAAATCTGGGAGCCTACAATACTTCCAAACGGTAAGCTTGGCAAATTTGTTTGGTTAGTAAAGGCTGTTGGTGGTGGCCCCTTTTGAAAAGGGAGCAAATAGCTTTGAAAGAGGATGGGGGCTTAATTCCAGATGTGCGCCTTTGATTTGATCCAGCTGAAGTGACTTTTCTTGTTGTTATTTTCTTTCTTGCTCAAACCTGCAGGTTACATGTTTTCAAGGATCGAAGAGGAGCACTTATGGGAGTGTAAGCAGCTGGGTGCCTATTCCCCCATTGTGCTGTTGAACACGCTGCTTTTTTTTAACACCAAATACTTCCAGCTCAAGAATGTCACCGAGCACATGAAGTTGTCCTTTGCCCACGTCATGCGACGCACCCGGACTCTGAAATATAACACAAAGCTGACTTACTTACGCTTCTTCCCACCTTTCCAAAAGCAGGACGGAGAACCAGGTGGGTAAACCTATCCTGCTTGCATCTTCTCAGGGAGTGTGGTTGATTAGCCTCCAATCTTGGGATTTCTTCCCAGTCACCCATTCAAGCACTAACCGGGTTAGGCCCTGCTTAGTACTTTAGAGCCATCCAGGCCCAGCATTGCCATTTCATTTGCAGCTCTTTGTGTAGCATTCCACAAAGAACGCTGGGCTAGAAAATCAGAGTTTTCCGCTGGTTGTCTTGCTGCTGTTGGGTTGGGGGGTTATTTGGCCTTTGCGCCCCATTTTCCGTCTCTGATCTTCCTTTTCCACCTGTAGATAAAATAGTGGGCAAAAGGAAACGTCACGATGGCGAAGAAACCGTAGAAATGGTTGAGAACACGGACAATCCTTTGAGGTGCCCAGTTCGGCTCTATGAATTCTACTTGTCAAAGTGGTGAGTGATGCTACATCTTTGGGCTTGTTTTTTCTCAAAGGAGAGTTCCCAACCCTCTCCTCCAATCCTGGCCCTTTTCTTTCCCCATCCAGTTCTGAAAGCGTGAAGCAGAGGAGTGACGTCTTTTACCTCCAGCCAGAACGTTCATGCGTTCCCAATAGCCCAATGTGGTATTCCACTATGCCAATAGATCCTGGGACTTTGGACATCATGCTAACGCGCATCCTCATGGTAAGGGAAGTGCACGAAGAACTTGCCAAAGTTAAACCGGAGGACTCGGATCCGGAGCTTTCGGACTAAACTTGGGCGAAGGGGAGGTTCCCTCTTTTGTTTGTTTGTTTGTTTTGGTTTTGTTTCCTTCCCTTTCCATGGTATCTTGCAAAAAAGCACCGAACTGAGATTGCACCTGGCCTTCAGAAAAATCACTCATGTCTCACACACACACACACACACACACACACACATAGACACACACAAACACAAAACAAACCCTCCGAAGGCACAGCGGAAGCTGCAAAAGGTTGCAAAATGAGACTCGAAGGATGGAAAACGGCAGACGACGCAGGAACACTGGAGAACTTTCAGTGGCTGCAAATGCTCGTGAAAATGCTCGAAGAAAAGATGAACTGGAGACCTGTCTCTTCCCCTCTCCCTGCCTCCCAAGTGGTGCTTGTTAGTGGAATAAAAAAAACAATTATGGATGTGTTTTCTTGAAAAAGGAAAGCAGTGGTGTACATCCTTCCCTCCTAACCATGAAAGCAAAGGAAGCTAGATTTAGACGCACACCCCAGGGTGATTTTGCAGTGTAGCTGCCACCCACCCATGCATGGGGTGGGTGGGTATTGCCTAACACTTGCTATAGGACACCAAGCAGAACGTAGTGAGACGGACGCCTATGGGAATGCCATCTGTAACATACACGCCAGGTCCCTTCCTTGCCCTCTCCCCTTTTATAATTTTCAAAGGGGGTGGGGGGGGGGGCTTTTTAGGAAAAAAATGTTGGGTTGTTCAAAAAGACTTGGCCAGAAGCTGAGGCAAAGAAGGGGAAACTTGGTGGGCTGCCATCATGTTTTCTGACTTTTGAAAAACGCTGGCTGCAGGAGCAAATCAAGTTTAGCCAGGCCACCTCAGCCATGGTTTTATGAGGAAACGACTCATTTCTGAATGAACTCGCGCACACATACTCAGCCGCCCCATGCAGACAAATAGGATTTGGTCTTCAGCCCTCCAAAACCACTTGACTGCTTTCTTAAGAGCAAGATATGCAAAAGTGGTCCCTGAGAAATTGTATCCCACCTCCCTGGGTTTTTTCCTTCTTCTTTAACTGGCCTAGGCAGTCACTATTCACGCATTTATAAATTACTTTTACAAAATCCAGTCGAGTTGGAATGCCGGGGGCCTTCCAGATGTTTTGTTCTTTGCATTATCCCACTCACTGGTTGATTTAAACAAGGTATTGTTAATCCTCAGCATGATTTGTGTACCGTCGCTTTTCATTAAAAAAAAAAAGGCATAGAAATCAGATTCCAAATGTGAAAGAGAATTTGGGTGGCTTGGCTTTGCCTCTTCCCCGCTCCCTTCCTCTGGGTAGGAAAAAAAATCCCCTTTATCAAAACGCGGGGTGCGTAGGCTTAGCCAAGTCCATTTTTTCACCACCTTCCTCAAGCCGAAGATGTTTTTTCCCCCCTCCGTCTCCAAAAGATCGCTTTGAAAATCGAAACTATTTTTTAAAAGAAAAAAAAATCCAGGAAAAAAAGTGTACATTTTTATTAGCGGTTTTGTCCATTCACCAAATTTCTAAAGAGTTCTTTAAAAAAAAAAAAAAAGCAAAAGAAACAACCCTGTTGGTCTCTCCAGCATTGAACAAAGCCTTTTGTGTATGTATGTGTGTGTGTGTGCGCGTGTGTGTTTGGGGTATTCTTTTTAACAGTAACAAAGGTTAACAATAAAATCAGAAAGTAGTCTTCTCTTTTTGCTGTTGTGTACTTGATCGTTCCGTCTCCTGCCTCCTGTGACGAAACCACTGGTGTATTTTGGAAAATGCAGAAAACTGTAGAAGCAAATCAGTCTTTTCGAAGTACTGGACCTCCTGTCATATTTCTGTAATCTTTAACTTCCCTTCACTCTCCACGTCCTTCATTTTTAAACAGATAGCCCACATTTTATATATTAAGGCAAATAATTACAAGCTCGAATGGATGAAGAGATGTGGCAGAGCTGTGACTTTTCCAATAAATTTCCCAATTTGAATTGCATCGATTTTTTTAGGTGTTTTTAAAATATGCACGTGTATATTCTATTTATTACCTTTATATCCTGCCCACCTTGCGGCTCAAGGCAACCGTTTCATCAGCAAACGTGGCTTTCTGGCATTTGCCAAAAGAAAGTCCCCAACACTAAAAAATAATAAATGAAAAGTTGAGACAGGAGGACAACCTTGTTCTAGGCCGTTTCGTGTGTGGTGTGTGCAAAAAGCAAACACCTAATTGGTGTCAATTGCACAGAAATGTGCGCAGAGGTCTCCTAAGCACACATCAGGGGAAGCCATCATAATTGTGACTGTCTCTAGCAGTGTCAGGTCGACATAATGCCATTTATTTAATGACCAAAGTTACAACCGCACTGGAAAAAGTGACATGACCGTTTTTCACATGTCTGTTGCCGCATCCCCAAAGTCACACAAACAAAATTCAGATACTTGGCAACTGGTTCATGTTTGATGAGCAGTGTCCCCAGGACACACAATCACCTTTTGTGACCCAGGAAAGTCAGCAGAGAAGTTAATAATTTAACAACCAATTTACTTACAATTGTGGCAAGAAAGGTGGTAAAATGGGGCACTTAACTGTCTCACATAGTGACAGAAATTTTAGGCTCGGTTGTGATCGAGTACTACATGCATTCTTTATCCTTCCCTTTAGGAAACTCTCTTTTGTTTGCTTTCAGAATCCAACAGGAAGGGAATTACTTAGACCATCTCCTATAGGATGGTGTTCTACCCTTCCAACCATCACGGAGGAATTCTTGTTTGGAGTAGGGAAAGATGGGGTCTCTCCGAGAGCTTTGTATGAAGAAAAGCAGGAGGGTTCTGCACAGCAGTCTTGGGGTTTGGGAAATGAACCCCATACTTCCTGGGATGCAAGGGTACTCTTTCGCAAAACTGAAGCCACCAGTCAAGCAGAAGCAGAGATGCTGGATTAGCCCCCATTACTGAAGCAGGAAAACTGGGTTCATTTTTTTTGCTAAACTCCATTATGTAAAAGGGGCGCAGTGGCTAAGATGCTGAGCTTGTCAATCAGAAAGGTCGGCAGTTCGAATCCCTAGCGCTGCGTAATGGAGTGAGCTGTTACTTGTCCCAGCTTCTGCCAACCTAGCAGTTTGAAAGCAGGTAAAAATGCAAGTAGAAAAATAGGCACCACCTTTGGTGGGAAGGGAACAACTTTTCGTGTGCCTTCTGAGTTTGGTCATGCCAGCCACATGACCAGAGACTTCTTCAGACGGTGCTGTCTCTTCAGCTTTAAAACACAGGTGAGCCCCGCCCCCTAGAGTCGAGAACGCACATATGTGCCAGGGGAACCTTTACCATTATGTAAAGGTGCAATAGAGCAGTAAAGGGAACTGAATTATTGGGAGCTCAAGTGATCCTCAATTTATATCCATTCCTTTGACGTTGCAGCATGGAAAAAAATACTTGTAACCAGTCCTTGCGTTTATGGCTATTTTAATATTCCCAGTCATGTGATCGCATCTTTCCCCAGAATGATACCTGACGGGTTTTTGTTAGCTATTTCCAGTCCAGTTTCCTAATCCTTAAGATTACAAAGAATTAAACAGAATATAGCATTTCTAAGGAAGAACCGCCTCTGATTTACCCCTTCCCCAAAAAGGTGAGCCTCCCAGATGGACTGGGACAGTTTAGAACAGAGTTTTATTTTGCTTTTGTCCAGCAGCAACAAGGGAGAAAACCCCATCAATGGATCCCATGAGATAGGAAAAAAGTTTACTTTTTGCCTTGCACATCTGTACTGCTTTGAAGTTCAGAAAAGAGCCTTGGGGGTTTGCCTCTTAGGGACCAGAAAGAAGGCGGCGATTGCTAATTCTATGAATGGAAACCCACCAAGATGGACGTCCTGTTACATTTCATATAAACTGAAGCACACAAAAATTACAAGGTATTTTTATTACAATAAAAGGCACAAGTCCATGAGAAAGCGAGCTAAACGTAAATAATTCAAGGAGTCTTATGAAGATACAGCCGTTTCCCCTTCAACAAGGTTTCTTTTTGGAGGCCTTTGACAGCTAATATTATGGAGAAGGGGTGGGGGGTGTTCTCTGGCCCCCTCAACTGTAAATGTCCGTTATGGCTCCCAGCACTGCTCCTGTGGCTGATGCTGCTGCTGACACAGCAGTCGGCACCCCGGCAGCCCCTAGACAGAGAAAGAAGACAAACTATAAGGTGCCAGTCCTCGTTGACCAAACCAATCCTTGTGCAGGGCCAGGGCAGAAAACTTACCAATGGACTGCAGGGTGGCAACCACACCCCCAGCAGCCACTCCGCCTCCGTTTGCAATGGCAGAAGCAGACATCATTTTGGCGCCAAGTGAACCAATTGCAATTCCTGCGCCAGTGAAACCCGCAGCGCCAACTATGGCTGGGATGCCCACCGCTGCCACCCCTGTAGAGCAAGAAAGCAAATGGAAATGAGTGAGGTCCCTGTGTGGGCAGGAAGAGTTCTCAAACTTTCAGATATCACAGAAAGATATCTGGTTTAACTGCTGCGGACAGGAAGGCCCTACAGAGAGTGATCAATTCGGCACAAGAAACCATTGGTTGCCCTCTGACACCACTGGGTGACATCGCCAGGCCTCGCTGCTTTGATGGCAAACCTATGGCATGCGGAGCAGAGGTGGCACAAAGAATCCTCTCTGTGGGCACACGCCATTGCCAGTGGCTCTTCATACACACCGGCCAGCATGGGAATTGGAGTACTTGAGCTAACCCCTCTCCTACCGAGGATGGAAAAGAGCCATGCACTTCCAGCAATGCCAACATAGGGCTTTTGGTGTTCCTCCAGAAGATGGCACAAAGTTGAATTGCGCTCCCTAATCCTGCAGTGAGTCCCCCTCCTTGAGAATAATTTAGATTCCCCATCCTGGTTTCCTCCAGGTACAGGTAGTCCTTGAATTATAACCATTAGGACTAGAAATCCAGACATAAGGCAAGGCACCCATGTGATCAGACTCCAGGGGAAGTTTACATTTTTTTTGAGGCCGTTAAGCAAATAACATGGTTGTTAAACCAATGGGCCGGTCATTAAACAACCCCCCTCTTCTGAACCTGAGAAAAAAACATTGCAAATCAGTCCCGTGACTGCAGGACACTGTAACCGGTTATGAAGGCCAGCCTATTGCCAAACTGGAGGTTTTTAAGAACAGAGTGGACAGCCATTTGTCTGGAATGGTGTCCTCTGTGTGGACACATGCCATTGCCAGTGGCTCTTCATACACGCTGGCCAGCTGGTCTTCATGGCCTGAAACAGCACCCAAGCAGCTGTTTTCCAGGCTGTTTGGGGGGCTTTTTCCGGGCTGCTTTGGGGGCTGGTTTTGGAGGCCTGTAAAACAGCTAGAAAACGGCCAAAAACCAAGCATGTGTGCACCAGCCAGTTGGACTTCAGGTTTCCAGCGCTCCGGCGTGCGCACATGCACACATGTTCCAGTTTGGGGCCTCAGTGCTGAAAAGGTTCACCATCACTAGTATAGGGTCCCCTGCTTGTGTAGGGGGTTGGACTAGAAGACCTCCAAGGTCCTTCCAACTCTGTTCTTCTGACCATATTGGGGGAGTAGAAGCAACATTCTACCATAGCTGGAAATGTTTTATAGGCTGTAAAACTTTCATCCCAAGGCTGACATAACCCTAAGCAGTTGTAAGTCAAGGACTAACTATACAAATACTATAATCCCAGGATTCATGACCAGCAAGGTTAACTCTTTTCCTGTTGCCAGTCTAGGAGCTTTTCCTTTTGAATAGGAAGCCCAGAATCCCCGTCCACTGTTCAAGGCTTTTGGGGGATAGAGTCCAAACTACTAGAGAACATCAGCTAATTGACTTCTCTCTTCCAGCCCTCAGCCCTCAGCGCCCCCCCCCCCCCTAAAAGGCAAGGACCAAGAGAGAAATCTCAAACCCTCCAGTTCCCCACAAGGAACTGCACTTACATACTGGTGGAGGAAGAAACTAGGAACTTACCCAGGCCAATTGCAGCACCAAGTATAGAATCTGGGGATAAAGAGACTTAGGTTAACAAAATGAAGATTATAGTGCACAGGAATTAAAATAAAATAAAAACACAACCCAAACAAAAGTAGTGCAATCGCAATCAAGACAAAATTGGACAACCGCTTGCTGAATTCTAGTTTCTTGACTATATTCATCCAACCACGTTTTCCAACCTCCATCATAAATGGGTCCAAAACACTGGTCCTCTACCCTTGGGTGATAGCACCCTCCTGTGACCCTTAAGAGGCTGCTGGAAAGCTGCCAAGCCATCTTTCCCAGAGTGTGTCATGATACTTAAGAGAGATCACACGACAACAAATGGAAGGTGGTTGGAGCCCACTCCTCAAATCTGGTGCACAAAGTGCTAAAAGCTAAATGAAAAGCATTCAGGCACAAATAATCAGGAACACAGTTAAATTCTACACAGCAGTTTCCTACCTGCCAGTTTTGTTATTAACTCTAGCTTCATTTAATACAGTTTAGGATCTAAGGAGGTGCCTCTGCCAGTTAAAAGGGGGGGACCCATTTTATGGCTGCAAGGGCCTCCCGTAGCCCTCTGCCAACAAAAACGGAGCTCGGGGCAGGGGCATATGGCCCCCCCGGGCTTCATTTTCACTGGCAGAGAACTCTAAAAAAACCTAAAAACAAAACCAAAGGAGAAATGTTTCCTCTTTTGCATTTGAGCATGGAAGAAGGGA